AAATAATATATAATATTAAAATAATTATATTATGGAATCATTTAGATTTATGAGCGATCAAGAAGCATGGCATGAGCTGTGCGACTTGTATTTACAAGAACAGGAGTATTCCAAAGCAGCATATTGCATGGAAGAACTTATATTACATAATCCACACAGTCATTTAATTTACCAAAGATATGCGGAAATAAAATATTCTCAGGTAATATATATTTAGAGAGAATTTTATGACGTACTTTTATTTATAGTCATTTATAATCTTATTTTTAAATCAATAAAAAAATGTGATATTAGTTTACTGAATTAATATATATCTTAAATAATACTGATATGAAATTAATGAGATTTTATTATATTAGGGCGGATTTGATAATATGGAGCTAGCAAAAGCATATTTCTGTCAAGCTGCAAAATTAAATCCAAATAATATTAGAGCTCTATACGGCTTATTATTAGTAAGTTTCGTTATCATAATGTTACATTTTGAAGTTTCGTTATCATAATGTTACATTTTGAAAAGTATATTTGTGCAAATATCTATTTAATTTCAGACCACAAACAATATTGCAACATCACCTAAATGTCCTGCATCTAAAAAGAAAGAAGCACTGAAACTGAGTGAATGGGCTAGTAAACAAATCGAAAAACAATATGAAAATAAAGTTTCAAATCAAGATGTTAAAAATATAGAACGTTTACTAGGACAATTGCAACTTGAAGCTTAGGTACTATTATATATACTATTATATTTAATTTTGTGACATTTGTAAGTGATATATGTTTGAAGATATTGCAATAACGATTTCCAAAGAATTTATCGAACACAAAGAAATTTTAGAAATGTTTTTTAAGTCTGTGTAGAAAAAAAGAATAATAATATCTGACCAGAGTTGATATATTCAAACAGTATTTCTTGTTCTATTCTTCATTATAACATACATCAATTTTTAGATAATTTTATCTTACTCCATATAATTTTGCTAATGTACAATTATATGTTAATATATTAGTTAATTAATCTATATCAGTACCGTTGTCACATTTTATAAATGCACCAAGTGTAATTACCTTTTCAATGTACATTCATATTTCCGTATCTTATTGTACATGTTATTCAATGTAATAATCATTGATTTTGTGCGATTGTGGTCACTCAATATTGTGACTTGTTCAATATCTTTGTTGTTTTGTTATTAATTAAATATCGGTTACGTTACATAACGCAATAAAAAACAGCGTTGATAAATTATATGATGTGTGCAAAATATATCATTTATTTTTAAATCATTGCAGTTAACTTTGATTTTATCAACCTTAACAATATTCTGTACATAATAACTAAGAAATACCAAATAGTCACTTTAACAAATAATTTTGAATAATAATATAAATTATATATCTTTTCATCCTCGTAATGAAAGTATATAAAAATGAAAAAGAATATCTGCTTTTTTTATACAATACTGTATAAAGTTATTCTACAGTCATCTTTCAGTAATTTCCTTGTTACTATGTTCCCACTCCTCTCGTCTTTTCGCTCTTTCTGCAGCTTTTCTCATTCGTTTCTCCTTTCTCGTTTCCTCACGTAATGCAAAATACTTTTCACGGAAATCAGTTAGATTCATAATAATACTTTCATCGGTTACCTGTTATCAAATATTAAAAAAACTGATATATTTTAATATTAATCTGTCCTATTATTTTGCATTTTACAGACTAGATAATAGAAAATAAGAAGAAAATTTAAAAAAGAAATATAGTTTCTATATTGTATAAAAAATCCTGTAATAACGTTTAATTCAGATAGTTACAAGTAGTATTCTATAATATGTATATAGTTTATATTTTATCTGAAATATTGCGCAGAATGTACAATTTTATTATAGTTTACACATATACGTACCTCTGGTTCTTTAACTTTTTTGTAAGTTAATAATCTCCTGCTAGTGTAATTACTCAATATTTGTTCGGAGTTAGCTATTAAGTCTAAACAAGGATGGGCCGGTAATTGATCTTCCGCGTACTGATCTCTGTATTTTTTAAGTATATTTACTATTAATTGATCATTGAATAATTTGCTGAAGTTTTTTTAGAGTTGTAATATATCCTTAATAATCAATAGATATTTTAAATAAAAAAAAAATATATATATATATATATATATACATATATATACTAAATAATGGATACCAACAGACTAGTCTTCCATAAAACTTCAAATGTTTCGCAGAGAAACATAACAAATCATTATATATTTGATTCAGGCCATAAACAATTTTTGAAGGAATATGAGAAGTCGCTTGATGCTCCTCTATTACTGGATTGATTTTCATAGTACCTATTCGTTCAGTAGCTTCCCTTATACCATAAGGTGCTGCATAAGAGAGATGTTTCTCTGACATTAAATTTATTTTATAAAATATAATTTGTTCTATTCACTCGTAAATTTAAAAAATTTCATAATTTACATTTGCAGATCTTGTGTAATGTTTATACTCACGATCCGTTACAATAGCATCTATTCGTAAATCTGTCCGCCATAATGGATATGAAAAATCAGCCACCACAACATCAAGATAATAAGAACTCATTCCATATTGACGCATATTCGTTGCGATACTTTCGTCTTTTTCTCTTGTCTGAGGTACACAACACGATAATTATTCGTTTATTTTTTGGAAACTTACGCGTGCTACTTTGTATATTAATCTAATATAATTTTATATATAATTGAAGTAATAATTTTTAATGATACTTTTTGCGATATCCGTGTAGGTCTCGTACGGCCATGGAGCATTAAGAAATCAATATCCGTTCCAAATGTATAGCCTCCGAAATGAGACGCGGCAATTAACAAAGAGCCTGTTCCCACAAATGGATCGAAAACTAGATCTCCGTTTTGAACTTGCGCCTGATTTGCCATTATCAGCGACAGTTGAGGATCCATTGAAGTGTTTCCTATAAATTTTCTAGTTTTTAATGCCAACTTTTGAATTAAGTCTCGCTGACCATCAGCAATCTATAATAAAACAATATTACAGCCTACAAATGATGATTAATATTTAAGTGTATTACTTACCCATTTTCCAAAAAAATATTCATAGGGGTCTTCAGGAATGTCGTTGGGATTAAGTCCATAATATTCTATATAGCATAAATTAATATCTGGATTTTTCAATTTAACTGGTCCTTCAAGAGGTAGATAACTAAAAGACTTTTCCGAATATATATCTTAATTAAGTTAATAAGTTAATTAACATTAATAAGTTGTTAAAATAAATAAATTAATCTAAGTGTATTATTAAGCAATTAGTATATTTTTTTAGCATGTTTTACTGCAATTTTAAAATTAATGTTATTAATATCAATATAATTTTACTTAATAGAAAAATATCTACTTACTTCGATTTTATTTATTTTCTCACGTTGTGAGAAGTGTTTACAGAAAGTTTCCACTATGATCTTAAACGATTTTTTCTTGTCTTTAGCGATAGTTTCAGTATTTTTGATCAAGTAAGTTTTCAAAGAATCATGTAAGTCCTCATTTTGTTTACCTTGTGCCCAAAGTTCTAAACAAAATCGTAATGAAACTGCTCTACTGGCAATTTGATGTACTATATTTTCGTCAGGTAAATCCACAATCCAGTAAGGCTGAAACAGAATTTAACAAATCTTAGTTTTGTTTACATTATTTCTTTCAATATA